AAAATAAGTTAAAGTGTCCTAAATATTATAAATGACATTATTACTTATAGGTTTAAACTTTTAGATAAGTATGAGTTTCAGAAATATATATTGTGTTTTAGATTAATTGGCTCTCCAGTCCCCCACCTGGGCATATCAATTCATGTCGTGGCGTGTGAATTGTCGTTTTCGTATTAAAACCCACAAAAAAAATTATTTAGTGTGTTATAAGTATCAAATATTAGTCTAAATCATTTAATATGTGTATTTAATAATTGTGTCAATTTTAAAATTATGTCGTGTGGGGTTCGTATCAATGAGCCAAAGTTGACACCCTTAAAGCCCAACTGATGAAACAATAAAACAAAAACCCAAAATTATTTCGTTATTTAGCTGATAAAAGAGTTGATTTAGATTAAAAACTTTGCAGTCCACTAGTGCAAAGTAAGCCATGCAGCAAAGATAATCTCTCCTGGAGACTTTAATTTTGACTTAGCTGGAAAGAATACCCAAATTAATTAGGGTGGCCCTCTCTACAGCTCGGCTCACTTTATAACAGTTAAAGTGCAGAATCCTATTTAAGTCTTGTGTCTTTTTTATTTTTAGAATTAATTAACATATTAATTATTCTTGTCTTTTTATTAGTACTCAATCCTTAATTTTAAGAACTACAACTACATTGATATTAATTACTATGTGGTTCATACATTTTATTACTAAAATATATAAATGTAGGGTTGTTCAAAATTCGCCCACACTCGACCCGTTCCGCATCTTTTTACCCAATTCTATTTGATTATTGGAATTCTGCAAAAATTTGGTTGGCCAATGGAAGAAATTTTAGTATTCAACAAAACCGTGAGTAGGAATGTAGAATACCAAAAAAAATTCTTTATTCCTACACAACCCACACATATATTTAAATTTTTTTAAAAAAATTATATATTTGATAGAAAATAATGTCATTTTATATGTTCATATTATTGGATTTATTGTGTTTTTTTTAGTGTTATTGGTTTATTGTGTTGGTTTACATGTTCTTTTATTATATTTTAATAAATTATTTATAAAAGTAGCCCAAAATTTAGTAATTGAGTTGTTAAAATGATTTAAAAATTAATTACTTAAAAACTGAAAATATGGGAGATATTCCACATTCCTACCCAACTTCCGAGCCAACTTTTTAGATGAAATTCGGCTCAAAACATTATACTCGATCGGATAGGGTCAACCAAAAATTGACCTTCCACAATTCGTCAACTTGGAAGCTGAAATACACTATTTCCTATCCGTTGGCTCAGACGAACAGCCCATAAATGTGTTTGGAATTTTTGGTGCAGCAGGGGTGAAAAGGAAGAAACCCCAATTGGAGGAGATGAATTATGTGGATGAATATTTATTGAACATGCTTGACAATTTTCCAATGACTGTGCCTGTACCAGATTGGGATGATAAGAGTCCAAGAATGTCGAATGAGGAGCCATGGAACATGGATGATGGCAACGTTGGGATCAACAATAACCGGGAAGTTCCACACTCTCCGGTTGCGACCGCCTCAGCAATGCCAGACCATGACTGGGCTCTAGGCTCCTGCTGCTGGAACAATTTGCCTAGCATATGCGAAGACCAGAGCTGAAACAGTTGCATTTGATTTGGACAGGCAGACGAAGAATTAATGGATTCTGTACTCATCTATTGATAATTATGCTGTCTTAGATCTAATTTTTGGATTTTCTCGTGCTACGTAGTTTATGTTTTGGACAAAAAATAGTGACAACATTTGCTGACTTCTAACATCACTGTCACTGATTTAATTGTGAGTCTCAACATTTATTAGGACCCGATGAAAGGAGTGAGCACATGTTGTCAATATTTTTTTGTCCAAAAACTAGCTGTTTGGTTAAACATTATGCAGTCTTAATATTCAGCGGTTTAGACTGTTTTGGTTTGAGAATGTGGTAATGTTAGTGTCATGTTTTGAGTTCTGATGATACCAAAGATACAATCTCCATGTAAGCTGGACGCACAATGTAGCAGAGGAACTAATAAGTTGAGGAAAAATCTCAATCTACTCGCTAACGAGTAGGTCGAGACAGACCTGCTCGTTTAGAGGTTGAACCCAGGCTAGCAATCTCCCAAGTGAGCTCGAAGCAAGTCGAACTACAAAGAAAAAAAGGATACGAAGTAAGACCTCATTACCAAATTCAATCCCTGGACGAAGTCACCAACACCATGTCACCCGCTTCTAGAAGGTCATATCATGCCTAAGGGAATGTAGATTTAGTCGTTAGAGACTACATTCCCCCCAATATCCTTACAAACTAGAAGACCACACCATTGTTGTTTGAGGACCGCTCTATTAACTAGCATAAATAGGCAAACTCTTGCCTTGTAATGAAGAATGAACATCTGTACACTAAAAAATTGTAACCATCTTCTCTCCCATCAAGCATTAATAATTGTACGAATAAGAGACTCCATTAAAGTGGATTAAACAAATTTTTCGGTCGATAAACCCCTGATCCTCGTGCCATTATTAATTTCTCTGATTACTTTACTCATTCATATCCTATAACTCGCAAAACCTACGTATTCATTTTAGTGGAGGGCTCTTCAGCCTCCCTCTTCCATTCACCAGCACCGTCAAGTTCAGTTGTTTCAAGGAAACACTTTCAAATTGCTGAACTTGGCAGCAAAGCCTATTGGAATTACTCTAATATTATTACAATAAGAAAATCGTTTTGATATGATTTTATTGGAATTAAGAGGACTATCATACAAATATAATAGAAGTATCGTTTTAACAGGTTTGTGTCAAAAAATACTTTATCCATACTTGATATATTTATTAATTCATATATAAATAAGTTATGTCATATCGAATTCGTGTTGCGTTAACGAGTCGTGTCATATTTTAACACTCCTAATAAAAAGTTAATTTAATCATATATTCTTGGGCAAATGTATAATTTGGATTGCATGTATATCCATATTTGAATCTTTGAAACATGATATAACATATTCATATACGAATTCACATTTGAAATGTCGATTTAAGATACAATCCATACTCGACTAATAGGAATCGGATTTAACGACGGGGTTGACCATGGGCCAGACATGTGGATAGATTGGACCAACTACAAAGACTCCTAATCGTGTGTGAATTGAGTCTTGACAACAGGATTTGTTGTTTCTGGTATCTAAATAATGTAAAATTATTTATTGAAATTTTTTATTTGAACTTTGTAAAGAGTTACACAGAAACGAGTTACTCTAACGAATAGTAACAGTAAATAGTTACATAGAAACGAAAGAATTACACGTAACTTTTTGTCAAATTAATATAAATATTAATTCGGTTGCAGAAGAGGAACTGTTATTGAAGTTGATGTAGATTAACACTAGTGTTTGACACTATGTCCTTAAGATAGATTTTGCCCATACACACGGTGCTTATGAAATACGAGTGTTTGCCTCCTAGGATACAATGATATTTACATGAGCAGAAGTAGCACTTCAATCTACTCGTCCAGCGAACCAAAATTTGTGTTGTGTACTCTCTAAGACACTGCCTTAATGCCGATCTGCAGATTATAATGCACTAATGTTTGCCTTAATGTTGAAAATAGATTGAACAAATGAATTGATGCAATAAGGCAAACATTAAGGCAATTAGTATGCAAATAATAATGCTGACATACTATAGAGAGTACATTTTTGAAAAAGATCGTGTATCGAGATAGGTAGCTTTTGACTCTGAACCTTCCCTAGTGAAAGTCTATCGAACTTACTGGCTAAATAGTGAACGTGATGTCTTAAATTATTCAACTGTTTGATAAATCAGATTGAATAGAATTCACACAATCTTTTTCCTAACACAATTGATTCTCATGATTGTTAACCCTGAACAACTCTTAGTTTTCATAAGTGCTTTAGAGAATTCAGCTTTATAATTCTCATAGAAGCAGCTCATTCACACTCATATAGGTGACTCCTATTAAAAATATCCTGTAATATTCCACTTGAATTTTTCAAGATATAAGAGTCATTAAAAGCATAACTTATCCTAATAAACTCTGCAGACAACACTAATTTATCCTAGGAAGAAATATGAGAGATTATCTCTATAATGCTTCTTTTGAATCACACATAATTTGGTTGTTCCTTTGAACCTAGATCTTAGGATATCCAGTCAACTAGGTTGGGTTGCCATTAAGGTGACTCTTATGTCATAGGTTTTAAACTCATTCCCCTCGATGTATAATTTATTTGTTCTCTCATCAAACTTTTAGTAAGCGGATCCGCTAGATTATCGTTTGAATTTATATAAATCAATAGAAATAATTCAATTTGAGAGCAATTGTCTAACGGTATTATGTCTACGATGTATATGTCTAGACTTACCATTATAAATGTCACTTTGTGCCCTACCTATTGCAAATTGACTATCGCAATGTATACAAATTGTTGGCACAAGTTTTGGCTATAGTGGAATATCCTCTAGAAATTGGTGAAACCACTCAGCTTTCTCTCATGTTTTATCTAAAGCAATAAATTCATATTTCATTGTGAATCTGACAATACATGTTTGCTTAGAGGATTTTCAAGATACAGCTACACCACCAAGTATAAAAATATAACCACTTATGAATTTTGTATCCTTCATATCAGATATCCAATTTGCATCACTATACCTTTCAAGTACAGCTGGATATCTTGTATAGTGCAATCCAAAATTTAGGATATATTTTAAGTATCTAAGAACCCTGATAATTACCTTCCAATAGTCTACTCCCAGATTACTCATATATCTACTCAATTTACTAACTAAATATGCTATATCTGATCTAGTGCAATTCATGACATACATTAGACTGTCAATGATGCGAGAGTATTCCAATTGTGATATATTTTGTCCAGTCCTTTTAGAAAAATGAAGATATTTATCAACTGGTATTCTAGCAATGTTATTTTCATCTTTGTCGAACTTCTTAAGTATTTTATCAATATAATGTGATTGAGATAATATAAGTCCATCAGATGTTCGAGAAATTTTAATTTCTAGTATAATATCTGCAACACCCAAATCCTTCATGTCAAATTTACTAGACAACATTTTCTTGATAGTTATAATAATATTATTATTACTACATAAAATAAGCATATTATCTACATATAGGCAAATAATGACATATTTATTATTTGTGTCTTTGACATAGACATATTTGTCACATTCATTAATTGTGAGACTATTTGACATTATTACCTTGTAAAACTTCTCATGCCATTGTTTTGGTGCTCGCTTTAAACCATAAAGTAATTTAACAAGTCTACACACATTCTTCTCTTGTCCTAGAGAAATGAACCATTCGGGTTGATCTATATAAATTTTCTCATTTAAGTCACCATTTAGAAAAACTATTTTCACATCATTTTTGTGTATCTCAAGATTATACAACACTGCAATAGCTATGAGCATATGAATAAATGTTATTCTCGTAACGGGAGAATATGTATCAAAGTAATCAAAACATTCCTTTTGTTTGTAACCTTTAACTACAAGTCTAGCCTTGTACTTATCAATTGATCAATCAGTTTTCATTTTCCTCTTAAAAATTCATTTACACCCCAATGGTTTACTCCCTGGAGGAAGATCTACCAACTCCCAGGTGTGATTTTGCATAATGGATTCAATTTTACTATTTACAACTTCTTTCCATATATGTGCTTTAGGAGTGAACATTGTTTCATTGAAGCTTTGAAGCTCATTTTCTAGCAAACATGTTGGAAAATCTAGACTATAGGCCTTGGAAGTCCTTGTCCTCTTACTACGTCTAAGAGCCTCTTCACTTTCATTATTTATAAACCATGGTTTATATTACTAGTCACAGTATCATGAGTTCTTTTAAGAGAACTCTCATCACATGCATTTTTACTAGGAAAGACATTTTTAAAAAATGATGCATTTCTTAACTCCATGATTGTATTAACATGTATATCAGAAATTTTAGATTTATGCACGAGTAAACGATATGTACTACTATTTATTGCATAACCAATAAATATATAATCAATAGTCTTAGGTCATATTTTAATCTTTTTGAGAATACGAACCATTCTTAGCCAAATACTCCCACACTTTTAAATATTTGTAGGAAGAACTTCGACCTTTCCATAATTCATAAGGGGTTTTGTCTAACTTCTTGTGGGGTAGTCTATTTAAAATATAATTTGCTAAAAGTAAAGCTTCCCCCCACAAGTTCTGAGGTAATCCCGATCTAATCAACATGACATTCATCATTTCTTTCAATATTCTATTTTTACGTTCAGCAATCTCATTTTGCTAAGGTGTATAAGGCGCAGAAGTTTGGTGAATAATATCATGTTCTTGACAGAACCTATCGAAAAATGTGTTATATTCACCACCTCGATCACTTCTTATTGACTTAATCTTTTTGCCAAGTTGATTCTCAACCTCATTCTTATAGTGCATAAAGTTTTTTAATGCTTCGTCTTTACTCCTTAGCAAATATACATAGCAATATCTTGTGCAATCATCAATAAAAGTAACAAAGTACTTATTTTCACCTCTACTTTGAACATATTTTAAATCACATGTATCACTATGAATTA